CCAAAACAGGGATTTCATTCCAAGTGACACTACCATAAAGTTTATGTTGCTCGATCCGTTTGTGTCCGTCCAAGCGTCTGTCACCACCGTCACTATTCGATGCTGCTTGATTTTATCAATGCCCATTTTGCGGTATTCTTCACGAGCCCGCTATAACAAAGGCCCAACTAATTTATGGGACTTTACCCCTGGGTTTAGGTACAAAAATACCGCTCGAAACTTGCCAGCCTCAACCAAAAGAAAGGGGAGCGAGCACACGTAGAACATCATGGCTGACGCCATTTCAAACTTGTCTTGGTCGTAAGGAGTCGTCGCTCACCTCGCATCTAAGATTATGCTGCTACGCCTTCCCAGACCTCCCGTGGAAGCTCCGCTACACCTCCGCAGCGTTCGCCGAGCCTTCAACCAGTGACGACTACGTATCTTCGTCGCTCACCTCGTATCCAAGCCCATGCATCTACACCGTCACGTGGTTTGCGACAGTCCGGTTTACAGCTCAGGCTTGTGACGTACCAGCGTGTACCAGTGCCAGACTGCCAAGCGAGCAGTGCTGGCACCGACGTGTAGCAGCGGCCACACGGTCGCGTACGCGATTGTACTCCATATTCCTCCTGCGATGGTGAGAGGCGCAGCCTCTCATGGCGGTTGCAACCGCCCTAGTCCTCAGCACCAGCACCTGCAGCTATATAAGACAACAAGAGTGGTTAGCAACTGCTCACTGAATAAAGCATGGGTCCCAAGGTTGAGGAGCGGGCTGCGGCGCAGCTATGCTTTCACTTCCAATCGTACCAGCGAGTACTCAAGCTCCTCACCTTGGTTGTTCCCGCGCGGCATTCTGCCAGGCAACTCCCCTGCCTTCACCCTCGTCTATCTTGCTCTGTCTTTACGTATACGTGCTGCTGGGAGCTTACGTCACGCTGAAGGTAACTACAAGGCACACAGCACGTCTCAGGTTATGAGCCCAACAACAGAAACAAGCCAAGACAACAAACGTACCAGTGGTGCGGAGCAGCGACGCGAAGGAGACAACCAGACTGCCACAGGAGCGGTGCCTCTCGGGGTTCAAATAGCACCGACTCTGAAGAAAAGGGGAAATGAACTGAAAATTTTAATCCGGACGATTCGGGACCATCACTTCTCGGATACCTGTGACAGTGGAGGGATTCTGGTTTTCCCATGGGCGGAATCAAAAAGATGGGCAACGCTCATTGGCCAAACCCGCAGAAGAGAAGGAGACAGCAAACTGGCAACTGACCATTTGCTCATTAAAAGATCGATCGCCTCCTCCCCCAGCTCGACGAGAAGACACCTTTGGAAATAGCTCCACGAGCCGCAGAAAAGCTGACACTGAACCTGAGGACAAAATGAATCGAGTAGCAGCCGTAGTGACCCTGCAGGTGGCCTAAACAGCTCTCCAAGCCGGAGGATTACCCCGCTTGGCGCCTACGAGTGCTTACAGGTCTAAATGTCTCAAACATGGCCCAGCTTGTCCTAGGCAAGGAAACCTTCAACGACAACTGGTCTTCTAGCGTGAAGGACTGTTGGAATAGCAGATATCGCAAAGCAAATGGACTTCTTGTCTCGGCCATCGCTGATGAAACCCTTATCCGCTACCAGGACGTGGTCAACCAGGCTGACCCTGTCGAGCTATGGCGGGTGTTAGCTGAGGATTTCGGCCAAGAGCGAGGGATAAACACAGTGCTAATTTGGGAGCGAATCTACGGGCGAATGCTTCGCCCAGACGAGCCCGTGCGAGACTACATCGCCGACCTACTGAAGATGCAGCGCGAACTAGCGGAAAATAATGACCCCATCTCAGACTCGCGACTCGCTAAGGTTATGCTGACCAAGGCTCACGCAGTCTACCCAACAATTGCAG